CCCGAACTGCATGTCTTGCACCACTCTCAGGCACAGCGCAGTTTCACACATTACGCAGGCAATGATTAACGAGCTTCAAGAAATGAGGTATTATCTTTCCGACTCAATTTATTTTGACCCTTGGCTCAGGACTTACAGCAATGCTTCACAAGGGAGGAGGTTAGCTGCGATATACTTTTTCTCTAATTTTTGTAACATAAAAAGGAAATCATAGATGATGCCATCGTTTTAGGGACCGGCCATTTTATATTCTATGGGGGCGCTATGCCATTATTTGAAGACTTGATTTTTTAAAGATTAAAACTTTTTCAATCAAATTCTGTTCCTCACATGGGTCTACAGGCAGTATATCACACGATATACACATAGGTCTGCAGTGAGTATATTACACGATATACACATAGGTCTACAGGCAGTATATTACACGATATACACATAGGTCTACAGGGAGTATATTACACGATATACATATAGGTCTACAGGCAGTATATTACACGATATATACATAGATTTACAGGCAGTATATTACACGATATATACATAGATTTACAGGCAGTTTATTACACGATATACACATAGGTCTACAGGGAGTATATTACACGATATACATATAGGTCTACAGGCAGTATATTACACGATATATACATAGATTTACAGGCAGTATATTACACGATATATACATAGATTTACAGGCAGTATATTACACGATATACACATAGGTCTACGGGCAGTATATTACACGATATACACATAGGTCTACAGGCAGTATATTACACGATATACAAATAGGTCTACAGGCAGTATATTACACGATATACACATAGGTCTACAGGCAGTATATTACACGATATACACATAGGTCTGCAGTGAGTATATTACACGATATACACATAGGTCTACAGGAGTATATTACACGATATACACATGGGTCTACAGGCAGTATATTACACGATATACAAATAGGTCTACAGGGAGTATATTACACGATATACACATAGGTCTACGGGCAGTATATTACACGATATACACATAGATCTACAGGGAGTATATTACACGATATACACATAGGTCTACAGGGAGTATATTACACGATATACACATGGGTTTACAGGCAGTATATTACACGATATACACATAGGTCTACAGGCAGTATATTACACGATATACACATAGGTCTACAGGCAGTATATTACACGATATACACATAGGTCTACAGGCAGTATATTACACGATATACACATAGGTCTACAGGGAGTATATTACACAATATACACATAGATCTACAGGGAGTATATTACACGATATACACAGAGGTCTACAGGCAGTATATTACACGATATACACATAGGTCTACAGGTAGTATATTATTTTTAGTAAAATATAGGTACAAGAAATTAGGTAATGTGGGTTAACTATGCTTGACCGGATTTCGGTAATTAGGTGATATGGGTATAGAAGATCCAACTCTTGAATCCTAAAGGGGTTACCAAAAACTGAACAAATAAAAGCAGGATGGTCACAATAGCTTTCATTTTACATATTTGTTTGTTTGTTTGTTTGTTTCAAATTAACTATCAAATAACTGGTGCAATTGTGAAGGGGAGATTATTCTCAAACCAGTGGGAAAATAACATGTGTGCGAATGTTATACAGGAATGTTCATTATCAAAATTTGGTCACACCGGACAAAAGGTTTTGTGTCGACATCGTTCTTCTAGTGTCCGTGTTCCCACGCCCCGGATCCCCCGTGACGGGTGCTAGGTCTATTATGTGAGAGTTCCAACAGGAAAGATATAAAATATGTGTACGGAGGGCAGAATAAACAGGCGATACGATTAACATGCAATTCAATTGCAAGTCCTGTTAGTTTCAGTCTTCAGGATATGGGTCACGGCTATTTCCGTGTCTCTAATGTTCGATCAGTCGCAATAAATAGCCGCGTCACGCATCGGTGACTTCGCGGTGTTGTAGAGGGAGGGGTGGTCGATCCACTTCACAGCGGGTGGCCCAGATGTGATACACCTGCAGCGACATAACTGCATAACAAAAAAACCCGTGAAAATCGTTTAAAGGGGTGGGGCATATTTTTAGGTCACGCCAAGAAATAATATGTCGCGAATCGTTTCTTATTTTGCACGGACGTTTGCAAAGGGCAATATCTCCCACGAATATTCTGTAAAAAATTAACTGTGGCAGTATTGTTTGTAGATTCGTCTTGGCTGGCATAAATATTTCACACCTGCTCAAACACACCCTTTATGTCAGAAAAACAAGTGCTGATACATATATTTAAGAAATAAACAATTAATGAGTTGTTTATCGTATAATAAAACACTGCAGGGAAAATAAACCATGAGGGGCGCAGCCCAGAGTGGTTTATTCTCCCAGTAGTGTTTTATTTTACGATAAACAAAGGAGTTGCGTCCCTTGGACACGCCAGAAACCTATGATTGGGGATTCGAATCCCGGTTCGACCCGATTATGTTTCTAGGTTTGTCAGCACCATACCCGTGCTCGTGGGTTTCACCGAAGTAGTAAACGTCTGAGACCTGCATCACTTCGAGCTTTCCTCCCACATTAAGCTGACACGCCCTGATATAACTGGAATACTGTTAAAAGCGGCGTTGAGCTCAACTCACTCACTCACTCACGATAAACAACGACCACGAGTCACTTATTTCTTAAATACAAGTATCAGATGTCAACATTTGGTACAGGGGGGGTAAATTTGGTATTCTCACAATTTCAACGTCGATCGTTCGGCCGGCCATTGCGTTCATCTGCGCCGTCTAGCTACATCTTTAGGGGGACAACTTACCGGACACTTCCTTCTCAAAAATGACGTCGTCTAATTTACGAGGCCATCAAGTTGAGGGCGCATGTTCGAATTTCCAGAAACGACGTCATGTTTTATTGTGAAATAAATCACGCTTCGTTCTTCATTTTGAACGCTTCGTTCTTCATTCTTGGATGTTGAACATACGTGATTATTGTGGTTATAAAGGTTCATGATGAACGAGCAGTTAGTGTACTCCTGTATAATGGACTAGTAACGTTGTTAGGTAGGAACGTCAGCCAGATCCAAGCAAGATGGACACCCTGGTCAGTTTTAAATATCACTGTGTGCGAGGACACCCGGAACATTTACTGTGCGTCACCGTGGTCAGATTAGGGGATGACACACCCGCTGAAGGTGGTGAGGTGAGGTGAAATGGGGTTTAATGTCGCGTTTAAGATTATTGCATTTATATTGCGACGTGCATGCATGTGGTGTGTGTGTGTGTGTTTGTGTGTGTGTGTGTGTGTGTGCTAGTCCGGACTAATACCGATTTTATAGTGCTAGCCCATTGAGATACCATGCCGCAGTTTACAATGAATACCCGACTCAGACACAGTATACTTACCAGTCCTTGTTTAGCCCCGTAAAGCTGAGCGCCAGGCAAGGTAACAACAAGTACCATCTTTTAACGTCTTCTGGTATGACGCGGCCGGGTTCGAACCCCCGGCCTTCCGCTCTTCGGGGAGACGCTCTACCACTAGCCCACGGGGCGGTCGCCTGCTGAAGGAATGATGAAGCACACCCGTTAAATGAATATACCCACATGCTGACAGGTAGATACACATGTCGAATGGCATCCTTGCTCAAGTGGGGCCCGCCGGCTGTGAGTGAGTGAGTATTGTTTTTCGTCGCTTTTAGCAATATTCCAGCAATATCACGGCGGGGGACACCATAAATGGGCTTTACACATTGTAACCATGCGGGGAATCGAACCCGGGCCTTCGGCGTTACGAACGAAGGCTTAACCACTAGGCTACCCCGCCGCCCGCCTGTGAAGACATACCATGTAAGGTAAACTGGAGCCAACTCCGACATAGATTTACATTTATATATTTCAGCCTCAGAGTGGATCCACCTGCTAAAACATATATTGCAGAATGGTCCGCACAGTTGGCAGGAAGCATCTGAGGAATATCGCACTCTAAGTAAATTGTGTTGCCGCAAGTATTCCAGTGTGGCTTTGTTGACGCCTGTGAAACATTTGGTCGGGTCGGCGGATACTAGTTTAACTTGACGGCGTGTTTATGATGATTGTATATTTCATCCCGGTGACAAAACATGATCCAGCTATTTGAAAAACGATTACGTCGTCCGACTAGACATCAAATCAAAGTCTAGAGGCTATTACTGCGGCGAGGTCGCTTGTGTTATTACTTAGAGAAACAACCTCAGGAATGATTCTATCACGTTGGATGGACCTTTATTTATCTCTTACTCCACTTGTCAATATTGCAATTTGGACAAGTGTGTTCGGGCGAAGAGATGGCCCAAGCTTCTGGTAATAGACGTGAAGTGACGAGCACATTGAAGTAGGTGTATTCAACACAAACATCATTCTCCTGGGTGAAAAATGATCATCCAAATAGGTTCCGCTTCTCGCGACTTTATAGGATTTCCATTCAGCCGATTCTGGACGGTTCTAGACGGGCAGTGCAGTACCCATCTCAGCCCCTGCAAGAGCGATCGTCTCACAGGCTAATGCTTTGATTAACACGGATGTAAACATACGGAAGTGTGTTACACGTTTTACTGAGCTGGGCTATCTGGGGTCATCCTGATCGCCAGCTTTACCAGCCTGCCATACGGTGATTACCGCCCGTTGTATAATGTCTTACTGCCGTGATCGTCTTTTAATAGCGCCTACGTGCCGCGGGAGGGACGTTGCTTATCTGGGTTGGTAGCTCACGTGTAGTGAACAGTGAGTGAGGCTTTGCCGCGAAAAGACAAACCGTTTCCATTGCCATTGCGGACCGAGCGGAGGGTATCTGGCGTGGTAAGTAGTGGATATTGTGTGCGCGGTCGATGGCAAATATTGATTTGACTCCGCACGGACTACGAGGATTTCCTCAATGGCTTCCATTCAGGCTAAAGTACCACTAATTGCGCCCCGTTGATAGAACTTCCTCGTGTTGCAGCAGCTGAATGAAACCCTAGCTTATTCAGGCCGCTTTACTACCCTACTATGTGACGCATGTGTATCCAACAATCTGCTTGCCACCTCGCTAGCACTAGAGGCTTGTCTGTCGTAGCGCCTTGGACTTGATCGGGAGTTGGCGCATTTGTAGTCGAGGGAGGTGGATACATACACGAGGCAGGTGTCAGTTCTGGTTAGGTCATTGGGATAACAGCACGTGGCCCAAGTTCGAGACTAGTGGGTAAGTGGGGTGTGAGATGTTGACTTCTGTTGCTACAGCAGATTGCTAGCCTGTTGGCAGTTACTCTCCAGCTAATGACTGTCGTCTTGTGGTTCGTTGCCGCAGTGGGGTGTGAATGGTCACGTTGTTTGTTTGATACAGGAGACGCGCGTGTGTGTGACATCTTCTGGTATCGCTGTGACTGCCTCCATGCTGGGAAGGCGTCACGGTGTCACAGCGCGTGATGGCGTACTTGTCACGCCCGGGCTGTGACTTTGCATTCTCTCGTGTCTCTCTCCATTCACATAACTGGAACAGATTGTCGGTATAAATGTTGAAACCCTTCGAAGATCGACAATTGATCGACATTGTGTGTAAACTCATTTGGTTGTTATTTATCGCCATATGTGAAAATAGTCAATTGCCAGTTTCGTCATCGAGGGAACACATGTGTATCAAAAGTAAATAGTATTTGGGCCCCGTAGTTTCAATACTATAGAATTTTGTCTCCGTCTTATAATATCTGCATATGTACATGCGTCAACGATACAAAATGTCCGCAGCGATCACGTACAGTCATTGCAAAATCGGTTTGTACATTACAAGAACCGTATGTCTTAACATCGGGGGGAGGTTATTATTTTATTATTTAATTTTATATATTATTATTATTATTATTATTATTATTAAAAAAACGGTTTGTACATTAAAAGAACCGTATGTCTTAACATCGGGAGGCAGTTATTATTACTATTATTTAATTTTATATATTTTTTATATTATTATTATTTTATTATTTTTTTATATTATTATTATTATTATTATTATTATTATTATTATTATTGTGCTACCATATACACCGTTGTCATGTCAAGCATCCACAATTATCCAACTAATAGTGTACAGGAATGACACTCCGAACATAATAGTGTACAGGAATCGTAGTATATCGGGGTATTTGTCTGACGCGGCCCATGTAGAACACCAGCTGTGTCCGAGCAGACCCGTGTGCGACGCGAGAGCGATATGCCTCTTGTAGATCTAATGTCAAATGTCGCGTCGCCCACAGCTTATCGCTGGCCGCAAATGCCCTTCTCCGCCTTGTTTATCCAATACCGCATCTGATATGAGAGAGCTATCCGTGCATGGACAGTGTTACCATTATGACATATTAGATTTCCCGAACTCATCACATCCCATCCCATAGCCTATATGGTTCTATAGCCTACTGTATATATTGTCGGCGTGGCCCTTTATCACGGGGCTTGAATGTCGCGGACCGTTACATGCATCAACAAATTTATGACAGTCACGTACAACGTGTCACAGTGTTCCGCTTCCCCTCCTGCAAAGCTGTAAGACTGCCCTCCCCGGCTCTCTACATCACATGGAAGCAGTATTTCCATTGAGAGTGCATGTTTTACAACTTGTCTGTTTGTAGTGGCGAATTCGTGCCATATCACACATTTAACGAGTGACTATATGTCACGTCGTATCATATAACTGATGAGCATGTCACGTCATATCATAACTGTTGACTGTCACTTCGTTTCATATAACTGCAGTATTCTTGCCACATCATAAATGTCTCTCTGGTGACTGTCACGTTGTATCATATAACTTGTAGTTCACGTGGTATCAAGTCGTATCGCAGTGCTGGTTATGCGGTATGTCATGTCGTATAACATGCTGGCAGTGGTGCTTATACGGTATGTCACGTCGTATAACATGCTGGCAGTGGTGCTTATACGGTATGTCACGTCGTATAACATACTGGCAGTGGTGCTTATACGGTATGTCACGTCGTACAACATGCTGGCAGTGGTGCTTATACGGTATGTCACGTCGTGTAACATACTGGCAGTGGTGCTTATACGGTATGTCACGTACAACATGCTGGCAGTGGTGCTTATACGGTATGTCACGTCGTGTAACATGCTGGCAGTGGTGCTTTTACGTTATGTCACGTCGTGTAACATGCTGGCAGTGGTGCTTATACGGTATGCCCGTCGTGTAACATGCTGGCAGTGGTGCTTATACGGTATGTCACGTCGTGTAACATGCTGGCAGTGGTGCTTATACGGTATGTCACGTCGTGTAAACATGCTGGCAATGGTGCTTATACGGTATGTCACGTCGTGTAACATGCTGGCAGTGGTGCTTATACGGTATGTTACGTCGTGTAAACATGCTGGCAGTGGTGCTTATACGGTATGCCCGTCGTGTAACATGCTGGCAATGGTGCTTATACGGTATGTCACGTCGTGTAACATCCTGGCAGTTGTGCTTATACGGTATGTCACGTCGTGTAACATACTGGCAGTGGTGCTTATACGGTATGTCACGTCGTGTAACATGCTGGCAGTTGTGCTTAAACGGTACGTCACGTCAAAATATAACATTATGGCAGTGTTGCTTACACGGTGTTTCTCGAAGAACATTCTGTCAGTGGTGCTTATACGGTATGTCACGTCGTGTAACATGCTGGCAGTGGTGCGTATACGGTATGTCACGTCGTGTAACATGCTGGCAGTGGTGCTTATACGGTATGTCACGTCGTACAACATGCTGGCAGTGGTGCTTATACGGTATGTCACGTCGTGTAACATACTGGCAGTGGTGCTTATACGGTATGTCACGTACAACATGCTGGCAGTGGTGCTTATACGGTATGTCACGTCGTGTAACATGCTGGCAGTGGTGCTTTTACGGTATGTCACGCCGTGTAACATGCTGGCAGTGGTGCTTAAACCGTATGTCATGTCGTGTAACTTGCTGGCAGTGGTGCTTATACGGTATGTCACGTCGTGTAACATGCTGGCAGTGGTGCTTATACGGTATGCCCGTCGTGTAACATGCTGGCAGTGGTGCTTATACGGTATGTCACGTCGTGTAACATGCTGGCAGTGGTGCTTATACGGTATGTCACGTCGTGTAAACATGCTGGCAATGGTGCTTATACGGTATGTCACGTCGTGTAACATGCTGGCAGTGGTGCTTATACGGTATGTCACGTCGTGTAAACATGCTGGCAGTGGTGCTTATACGGTATGTCACGTCGTGTAACATGCTGGCAATGGTGCTTATACGGTATGTCACGTCGTGTAACATCCTGGCAGTTGTGCTTATACGGTATGTCACGTCGTGTAACATACTGGCAGTGGTGCTTATACGGTATGTCACGTCGTGTAACATGCTGGCAGTTGTGCTTAAACGGTACGTCACGTCAAAATATAACATTATGGCAGTGTTGCTTACACGGTGTTTCTCGAAGAACATTCTATCAGTGGTGCTTATAAGGTATGTCACGTCGTGTAACATGCTGGCAGTGGTGCGTATACGGTATGTCACGTCGTGTAACATGCTGGCAGTGGTGCTTATACGGTATGCCCGTCGTGTAACATATTGGCAGTGGTGCTTATACGGTATGTCACATCTTCGCATAACACGTTGATTATAGGCATTAACAGTTAGGAGTGTAATGACATATCGAACTATCGGTATTGTTTGCCCAACGATAGTATTGTATCGATAGGAAAGTAAAATTACCTATAGTATTGTTAATAGTATCCATAACGATCAATAGTTTTAATAGTTGCAATTAGTTATATAATAATACATATATTATGTCATTTTCAAACCTGTCCGTGTTGGTTAACAAGGATTAATTGTTTGTTTGTTTGTTGTTTAACGATGCACCCAGCAGTATTCCAGCTATATGACGGCGGTCTGTAAATAATCGAGTCTGGACCAGACAATCCAGTGATTGACACCATGAGCATCGATCCACGCAATTGGGATACGATGACATGCATCAAACAAGTCAGCGAGCCTGACCACCCGATCCCGTTAGTCGCCTCTTACGACAGGCAAAGTCGCCTTTTACGGCAAACATGGGTTGCTGAGGACCTATTCTACCACGGACCTTCACGTATCATCACGGATTAAGAAAACTTACATTAGAGATCCTTTCTTTGGGTGACTGACTAATGGCCGTCTTTGAGATTGTCAGCAATACTTTATTAATTTCCATTGCATTAATTAATAGTTGAGGTGAGGTGACATGGGGTTTATAGTCGCGTCCAAGATTTTGGCACTTATATAGCGAAGTGCGCGCGTGTCTCTGTGTGTGTCTGCTTGTACTAGTCCGGTCTTTTGGTATGACGCGACCGGGGATCGAACCCCGGACCTTCCGCTCTCCGGGCGGACGCTTCATTAATTAATATAATAATCAAGCCTTGAAGTTGGTTTACTACTATGGCAATACTATTACAATAGTTGAGGCGATGTCAGTCAGTCACCCAAAGAAAGGATCTCTAATGTAAGTTTTCTTAATCTGTGATGATACGTGAAGGTCCGAGGTAGAATAGGTCCTCAGCACCCCATGTTTGCCGTAAAAGGCGACTTTGCCTGTCGTAAGAGGCGACTAACGGGATCGGGTGGTCAGGCTCGCTGACTTGGTTGATGCCATGTCATCGATCCCAATTGCGTAGATCGATGCTCATTGTGTCAATCACTGGTTTGTCTGGTCCAGACTCGATTATTTACAGACCGCCGTCATATAGCTGGAATACTGCTGGGTGCATCGTTAAACAACCAACAAACAAACAATATTACAATAGTTGACTACTGTCCCGATACTTTTGCAATAGTGTGGACTACTATTGCGATACAACCACACATAGAGACACTAACCCCAATAGTCACTCTCACGTACAGAGTATGTGTGGTGTGGGATGCTAATTAGTCACGTGTTGCCACCACCTGACCCCGACAGCAACCGTGGATCTTTGACACCGAACACATGGATATATGCTTCCGATAATGATCTCATTATTTCAGAACATGCGCGCAGAATATCAATATGAATATTAGGCTGAAATTTGGCTCATCATGCACGCCAATGCCAGCTACAAAACCCAACATATTTTGAAGCCATGGAGGCCTATCCCAATTTAATCTTGACCTCCGTGGAATTTTCAGTATGTCATAATGTGCAATGTTCACGTAATTCAGATTGA